CCACAAGACGGTCTTAAAACGGTCTTTTTATAAAAAGACCGACTTTTATAAACGACTATTTAATCGATTAAAACCGTCTTATTTCAGTGATAATCTTTTCACGAAAAGACGAGCTCTTATAAAAAACGATTTAATCGATTGAAATAGTTTTATTTTAGCTACGATTTAAATAATTTAAATCGTTTGTTTTCAGATTCTACTCAATTTTAAATATCGGCCTAGGGTGATCCACTAACTATGCCAACCTTTTGGAATCGTCTCTTAAAGAGACTGTCATCGGATTGTCAGCTGACGGTTTAAATGACCCCCTACCTGCCTTTAAGGTACCCTTTATGGTAAGATAATGGAATACGGGCGATTGAAAAGCTTGGCACTCTCAGAAATCCTATCCGACCGGTATAGGATAGTCCTACGTGACTAGATGATCCATAAGCATAATTACTAATATTTATTTATAATCACCTTCAATAATAATTAAATGTTAATCCAAGTTATCATAAAAAGATATCAAAGGCTCTCTTTCATATCGATCACTTTATATATTAATTCGGCGTCGCTTAATCAATCGGATTTCTCTTTTCTTCTTTTCTTTTTTCTTCCTTTTTTTTTTGGCTGCTTTTGCAAAATATCTTCCAGCTCTTTTTCCAACAATTCTCGCTCTCTTACTACCTCTTTTAGCTTTGCGATTCGAATCTTAACTGCTTCCTTTCTTTCTCTTTTTTTTTCGCTCAATTTCCGCTTAAATCTTTGCTACTTATGAACTTTTAATTGCGATAGCATTAATAGTGGGCCTTGACGTCCCAACTTTCGGGGCCCTTCCCCTAAAGTGGGCGAAAAAAGTCTGTCCCGCTTCAGCGCAAAAAACGGCTTCGGAAAAGTATAAAGAATCATTATTCAAAGTCCCGATAAAGCTCCGTTAATATTTAAACTGATCTTCAGCCTTTTAAACCCTGGAACTTTAGGGAATTCTTAAAAAAAAAATATGGCTAGTATAAAACACGTAATCGAGCCAAGCCCGCAGAGCCTCTTACTACGGTACCTCCGAATGGGTTCTGCTCTTAACATTCTGTAACATTTCATCTGAAATTTTTATTAATAGTCTACTTAAGTGCAATGCAAGCAGCTGTTTTTCTAAGATTTTATTCTTAGTATCAGCCCTGTTAAGTCTAATGCAAGCTATTGTCTTGTTAAAATCTCCCCCCTTCCCTTTTAAATATTGATAATATATTTTAATCGAGATTAATACCAATGTGACGAGCGTCACCAATATGTTTACTTCTACCCATATTCTAAGCGAGAGCGCAGATACCAGCCAGCCAGCCTGCTTGTATATTACCCTTGCTGGTTTGAACTTCTTGCTGGCTTGAATTCAGTTCAAAAACCACTATTTCAAAAAAAAAAAGAAAAAAAAAGATATATCGCTTCTTACATCGCTATCAAAATTCGAATCATCCGGAAGTAGCCTTATATCCATCTTAATGTACAAGCTTCAAGACGAAGCCTTTCCTTGTTTCCTATTAATCAAATGTCAATCTGAAGGACAGACTGCCTGCTATAATAGACAGATTTTCAAATTCGAATGGGAATAAATAGGCAGGTCTGAAGAAAGAACAAGTAAATCATAGAATTGAGACTCATCTTATCAAATCGCAACGATGGCCTCTCTGGGAGCTAAGAGCTTGAGAAAGACGACCTGCCCAAGAGCACCTGAGCCGCTGATAGCGTAGCGCCCTCCTGAGCGGGTAGCTTGCTGGAAATCACGCCGCTTGTTATTTGGATAATTGGCTGGAAGTGAGTTCCTGGAGAGAAATACTGAGCCATATCTTTGGCCTTTCGATGCACCTTTGAGATATATTTCTGATCTGATAGTAGCATACCTATATTGCATACTGATATAACAGACCCTTGCTTGAACCGAATCTAAATCCCTCGAAAGAGCACTGCCTATTCAATGCACAGGCTCCCTCACTCGTTACAGAAGCAGGAGTGGTAATCCCGGATCGAGTATCAATACCAGGACATCTCCAAGATCCGTGGAGAACTGAAGCATGCAGGTAGGGGCTGGTAAGTAGCCAAGGCTTGATCCGTGGTATGAAGCTTGGGTGAGAGTTACTTACGCCGGATTTTCTCAAGCGTAGCTTGGCTTGTAAATCCATTGTTGCTTCCACGTTTCCAGGACTCCGATTTCCAGGCATATATAGGTATATATATGTATACATTTACATGACAATGCAGCACCCATCCAGCTTCTTTAAAATTCTTGGTACAATTTTCTTGGCTAGCTTCTCCAGCTCGTCGTTCTGGTTGTTGTTGTTGTTCTCGTTGCCGTGTTGATTGCCGTGTTGAAAGCCGTGTTGCTGCTGACCATGCTGCTGTTGGCCCTGGTGTTGATGACCGCCCGGATATCCAGCCTGTGGAGGACCGCCCTGCTGGTGCCCTCCATGTTGCTGTCCTTGGTGGCCGCCCGCCGGAGGCATCGTCGCTGGGCCGCCGCTGAGGTTGATATAGATGCGCCCTTGGTTCGCCTCGGTGGCATACTGCAGTCCCAATTCCCGGCATACTTGCTCGACCCTCGGCTTGATCTTCTGAACGTGGTTCACCGAATGGTTGCCCTTCCCGACAATCCTACTCGGCATCAGTCGCAGCCCCCCGGCCCAGCAAACCTCGCCGCCACCCGGTGGACTCACACATGCAAATGGTTCTGTCCATTCTGCTGCGCATAGCGGATCCGCTGCTCTAGAATATCCTCCGCTTCCTCGACAAACTGCCCGTGCAGATCAATCGTGTCGTCCGCAACCCGTCCCGGCGCATTGTTCTCGCGGAAGATGTAGTCGGAGGCCTGCTTGTTGAACTGATCCATCTTCGCCGCGTGGCGCTTCCCCTCCTGACTCAACTGATGCGCCGCCGCTCCATCGCCTCGCTCGTATGCCTGATGCGCCTGTGGATTACACGACGTTAACCTGCGCTCGTGCGATCGGGGGTCCAGCGGTGTGGAATAGGGATGGAGGGGGGGTTCTCAACCCACTTTGTCGAAGCAGGACGCGCGCTTGCCGGCTTCTTGTCGCGCTGCGTCGCGGAGACGGTCGTATTCTGCTTCGGCATCGCCGCTGGTGCTATGATTGAATGCTGCAACGAGCTGTCACTTCACAGTGTCTTCGTTTTTAAACCGCATGCCCAGGGCGGCGCAAGTTGACTCAACGTACCTTTGCCCCCGATACGGGTCAACGGATAGGAAGCGTTAGCCATGAAGAATGAGGGCGACTATAGGACGGATAGAAGGAGAGGACATAAAAAATGTGTTGATGGTCGTTCAACGCGCAAAGTTTGCAGATCATTTGGCTAGCCTCGATCAGCCAGCCTTCAGTGATCTCTTTCCGGGATATGGTTGGAACCATCTCACAACCAACTTCATTCACATTCAGCCTTGCCCCTGACTGACCAGCAGAACCTGACATCGGCCTATTCTATCGAGATTTATATAGGAAAATAAAATTTCACTTTTCTAATAAATAGATGGCCATCTCATAAGTCCATCTAAGGCCATCCGCTTTACTTCATATCCAAGCCGCCCGCCACTCTTGTCTGATAATCGTCGGTTATCTTGAATTAAAATGTAAAAAATCCCGACCTGGCGCACCACCGATCCGGGACACCCACCAACCCAGAGCACCTACTTTTGCCCTTATAAAATCGATATAAAATCAATCACCGATAATATCGTAGTTGCTCTTATATGAAAAGATGCACCGTATGGAATTCAATAGTAACTGATTAAGAAAAATTAAAATTACATGTTGTTGTTCCATTATTATGCTGTGTTAAAGTAGTAAAAATGATACTTTTGATATACTTTTTCTGAGTAGGTATGAGTCCGAGCGCCGACTAAGCTTCCTGATTCTGGTACCGATTTTGGTATAGTTTTACCGTGCGTATATATCAGAATTGCCCTGTAAATACGAGAATGACCGAGGAACACGAAAATCGGACTTCCATCAAAATCCACCAAAAATCCATTTCCCATACCACCAACTTTCCTTTAATGATGATTTCCTTTTGTCACATGATAGATTCACTTATTTCCCGTCGAACTTAGAAGCCGTTTTTTCTTAAAAAAATTAGAGTTGTGGTTATTGTGAGATTTAAAGCGGACAGGTAAAATTTGATTATTTGGGACAGTTTTTAGCTATATCTTCGCTATATTATAATCTTTTGATTTGCAAAAAGAAGATGCATCTTAATACATATAATACACAGTTTTATAGCAATGTTTTCCAAGCATATAAATCTGCATATATATAAATGTTAGTAGTTACAATTTAATAAGTGTTTCGATGAAAGTGTCCCGGGTTTGTGGCGCCGACTTGGCGCAGCCAGGTCGGATTTTTTCATGAATCAAATTTTAAGGTAACCGACGATTCAACTTCTAGATATAACAAATTTACCAAGACCTTCCCATAAAAAGACTATAAGGCCAGATATATCACGACAGGTGGTATTAAACGAAAAGTATGGTATTCCATCTATTTTCCTTCCCAAAAAATTATTTTGCTTGCCTATCGCAAAGATCTAGTTACGAGCTCTCTAGGCGAACGTGTGGGTAGCATGGTTACCAAGATTCATTCTGTTCTCGTGCGTCGACCTTGCTGCGATATAATGTATCCTAGCAGGAGGGAAGCTTCTTGATCTGAAATAATATCCTGCTGCATGTTCGATACAATCGACCTCAACCGTCTGCCATGCAAAATGCGACTATTCTTCAGGTTACGACTCGCAATTTCTTGTTTATCAATATTCTAGCTCTCGGTCGCTGTCTGTCTTCAAAGGAGATCTCAAATTTGAGTTCTCAGCCGCGTAGACTTTGGCAGGGAGATTGGAACAGCATCATAATGCTCGTGTTCCCGATCGTGCAGTGAAGGCGTCCAGGCCCTGCAGACCTTTCTCCAGAACCTCCAACTTCTTGGATAGATCAGCCCTGTCGGTGATAGTGGCGGTATCCTCTGATCCAAGAATCTCCACTTGATCATCGGTAAGGTCCCACGCGACATCCGGAGAGAATCTGCATGGTTGTTAGTCCTCACAACGAACGTTTCATCGGCCACATCCGCTAATGCCTAGATGGCCCGCGGCGATGCTATAGAAGAGATGGAGTCTTGACTTACACCCCTGGAAGCTTCTGAATGAGGGAGGTTTCGACAGCGTTGACACTGACGTCGTCGATAAATTTCTTGAGGGCAACCTGAGTTTGTTAGCATGGTGGACCTTCGCAAGAAACCAACGTTGAATCGGCTTACCTTGTAGTAGGCTGCGGCAACATCAGCAGCGAGCGAGGCAGAGTACTCCTCCACGTCTGGCCTGGTGCCATCTTTTAGTGATGTCAAGAGCTCTTGCAGATCGACATCATCATAACTACCACCAACATCTGCTGTCTCTGAGGTATAGTCACAGATTTCCTCAGATATCCTATCGAAGGCTCGGTCGTGACGTTTGCCTTGAATGAGTTGCACCTGTTTTGTAAGATAGTCATTATATGTGATCGGATGAATGGCAAGATGCGGCTCAAGGAGCTCGTCTAGCTTAGCAATTAAATCCTTGCGGAGTTTGTGCAGTGATGGTTGGACAAGCCATCTCATCAAGAGCGATCGAGTGTTTTCGTCACAGATCTCAGCCAAAATCTTGTTGAAAGTCGTGGCTGCAGCTCCGTGGACCTCTTCGGCCAGGTTCTGAGTGATGCGCACCCAGGGTTTGCACTGACGGCTGAACAGATCTCCAACCACGAGCGGATTGTAGGTACCAGGTAGTTCACGGCCCCGACATTCGACCATGAGCTTCTTAACCTCCTCAAGATACGAGCTTCTCGTGACATATTTCGTGGTCGATTCTCGTAAAGATTCCATGTCATCTTCCACTATTTCTAGAGAGTGCCCGTGCAGCGCCATTCGGCCAGCGTAGATCGTAAGGAGCCTCTGTATATTTGAACGAAGTCGTCTGTCGATAGCATCTTGCTGGCCTGGATACGATGCAAAGAAGGGGTCTGCGTAGACTCCATCAATCGCGGCTTGAATAATAGTAGTAAGTGTGCCACTAATCCGGTGGAGGTAGGTGTGCTTCTCTCTCTGGGAGCTGCGCGCCTTACCCAGCTGCTGGAGTTTGGTAGTGCAGTCCTTTATCCCTTGTTGAACCTCATACTTCACCCCAGGAAGCCCATCGTGAATCTGCTTCCATAATGCGTCACGAAGTCGTTCTCGCAAAGTTCCGATGCCAAGCTGTGAGCGTTCAAGGTTTTGCTCCCAGATAGATTCGGAGAAGAAAGCTGCCTCCTTCTCCTCGTGTTGCTCGGCTGTATCGTCTGCGCTGGATGAACTCTTATTGCGCAAGACATGCCAGCCCAGAGTGAGTTTAACGTTCTCGTTCTGTGCCATTTCGACTAGCGAACCCGGTCAGTAAGTATTTTCTGGGCTAGACTTTCCGAACAAGATAAGAAGTGGCGGAATGGAGTTCCAACAGCGACCGGCACAAAAACATCTATAGCGTCGGCTCGGATCACACACCGTAATATTTTTCACTCTCGGAGCCTCTTTCTATCTTATCTGGCTTTGTGATCAGCCCAAGCGTCCTGGTTCCAGATGGGTCAATCTGCCGAGCGAATTTTGTGACCGGCTGGTTCGCGAAGGGATTGTCCGCTGAAATGACGGCCAGGATGATACTTCTGCGTTGCTTCATGTACGAAACTACCAAATTCTGGACCATTTCAGCGTCGTCGTCCGACCTGTGACAATATCAGGTTGAGCCAGGCAACTAGGGGCATGTACGGAAAGGGTGGCGTAGATGGCAATCGACCCCAGGAAGAAGAAAAAGTGCAATCAAGGGCTATGAAAACTTACTGGTTCTTGTCACTCGCACCAAAGAGACCTGGAAGATCTACTAAGGTCAAGTTGGGGGCATTTGGCGAGGTACTTTCGATCCGCAACACATCATTACTGAAAACCTTGGAGTCGGGGCCAGTTCCGGATAAGCCCATTTCAACTTTCGCGGCCTCGATAATCTTCGGAAAGCTTCGCTGGGCTGTTTCTTTATCGTGGAACTTGAGTAGCTTGACTCTCTCTTCTTCTGACCGACTGGCGGCAGGCTGAATCTGAACTTTGAGCTCGGACTTTTCTCCTCGGCGGAGGATCCTAGGTAAGGGGACATATTAGCGAATGCGAGATGTTGAAATGGATAAAGGGAAATTTTTGAAGCGTCCTGGTCCTTTAGCGACAGAGCAAGACCTACAATTCAGTAGCAAAGCGGGTGCACAGTCCTTCAGCAGTTGGGAAGGCGATCCCCGAGAGAGATTCGAGTGTGGAACTCTTCCCCGAAGACTGACTGCCACACACGATGATTTGAGGAAGATCAACACTAAAGAGCCTCCAGTCAGCAAGCAAATATTTAATTCTACGTGGGGAAGAAATCAAACTCTGACTTACTAATGACTGACACCGTTGGAGCGCAGAGAATCGACAATGTCCAGCAGATCTCGGTGCTTGCTAGATTGAATAAAGCCGGATGTCTTTTGGGATATGTGCTCGGCAAGGTCGCCAACGATCTTGGAAACTTCCCCCATCGGATACGTTCTGCAGGTTTGATGCTGGGCGTTTGTCCCCAGAGTCGTTGCTGTTCAATTGATCAGGCCGAAGACGGTCAGCCAAGTGCAAGATAATCAGGCCTGGAGGACTTTGGGGGCTTAAGTAGAGAGTAAACAAAGAGACTATGGATCAAGGAGAGAATTCCAGTGAAAGAAGTGTGTATATGGTCGAGATAGAAAGGAAGTGAGGTTGGAAGAGACGCAATACCAAGCAATCTACTTCAACCCCTGCGCAGGTTACAAAGTCGGTGCACTGACTATTAAACCTTAAAATAAATTTCTGCTTCGATGGAGATATCATCTTAAAAAGTCATCTGAGACACCAATTTCGCGGAAGCCACTAGCTTAAAGGCAGTGTGGGAATGAAGGGATCGGAGTTAAGGACTCGATCGGGGATAAGGGTGGCCCGTGCACCCTTGGCATAGCAACCACCCATATATAACTGCACCTCGCAGCTAAAATAGCTTCTTTCCTTTCTTAGACTTAACAATACTACGAATGCAACCACTTGCTATTCGTATCAAGTCTTACGTGTGCACCTTATTGTGTAATCAATACTGATTAATAGTTAAATTCATACTTAATTATAGATAAGCTAAATATAAAAAAAAAAAGGTAGTTTTTGCTTTTTTAAAAGTATTAATTACGCTATAAGCAACCGTTAGTTCTTAATAAGTCTAGCGGAAACTTAATATAATTAGCAGTACTATCACTAGTTGTAGCGTCTATCACGCAACTACCGCTAATATAGCGGATAATAAAAACAGAAACCCTTTTTTTCCTTTTCTTTTAAAGAAATCTGTTCGACCTTTAGCAAATAGCTTCGAAGAACTCGAATAGATTCTCCGAAGCAAATTCAAGGTCGACCAAGAGGTATAAGAAGCTAATGATTTCGACCTTTTTAATAAAATTAAATAGACTTAAAGTTGCGTTCACTTGTATATCATTCGAGCTTTCGATATATTCAAAGACGATTATCGCTACGCTACAAATGATAATTTATAAAAGATATATTAAAGCTTTTTCGAAAAATAGACTGAACTATTATTTAAGCTAGGTTATATTATAATTTTAAGTTACTTATATAATCACTTTTTCGTTTATTACGTATAAATAAAAGATTCGAAAAGTAGTATAAGCTATGCTTTAGCTTTTGCTAAACTACTTTATAGATTTACATTTCTCGTATTTCTATTTTACGAAAAAGCAAGACGAGAAAAGCGACTTAGTTTAATAATATATAAACTTGCCGTCAAACCTTTACTTTTCTTTTTACCTTTTATACTTTTTATACCGATACAACTTACTATACGACCACTTCTCTTACCGATACACTTTCAATTGTATCGACCTTTACCTTCGAATAATATACAATTCGATATACTATTCGATAAGCAACCTTATTAATAGCAAAGATAATAAAAGTTTACCTTTGACTTTCGACTATAACTTTTACTACCGTTTCGACTTTTACTTAACCTACTAGTTTATGTTGTGCGGAACAAGCATGGTTCTACCCAAGCTACATGTGACATATTATATGACCTCGCTTAATAGCGCCCTTAGCATACTAGAGCTCTTAAGTACATGTATATAAATCCTGACGAGCTTCTTAAATAAAATATACCAAGCTTTATTCAATCTATAGAATCTCCTTTTAATCTTAATGCTAATAAGCATTATAATTAAGAGCTACATTCGCACTTACGAGCTATTTAGTTAGTCTTTAATAACTTTCGAATTAATCGAGAGCGGATTTTGCAAGTCACTTTAACGTTATCTTATTATAACTTTCATTTTGCAATTTATCTTTTTTTCAATTATATTTATTCTTTACAACCAACACTTACTACTCTTAAGAACTTTAATTAATTTTCAAAAGCTTTAATCATAAAGTCAATTGCTATAATAATAAACGACAAAGTAAAAAAGGTTTTTTTAATTAATAAAACGAACTTTACAAGTCGTAACGACTTTTTAAGATAGATTACGAATTATAAATACTTTATTAAGCGCTTTAGCATAGAATAATACGCATCTCTTCGTATTAGCGTAAAAGAACTTGCTCTTTTTATCGAGTAGATCAGATTAAAAACGAAGTCTGTTATAAAGATAGTAACGGAGCTTAATAACGAATAATTCTAAGAATAGGACCGCTAACGAAAGGCTTAAAAAGAACTATACTTAAAAGCTTTTGCAAACGATTTTAACAGACTTTTAAAGCTAAAAGACGTTGAGTTCGAAGACGTCCGAAAAGCGTATAACGATAATATAAAAGAATACAACTTCGCTATAAACAACTAAAAAGTCTTAAGTAACAAGAGCAATCAAATTATAAATTAAATTAAAAAGACGGTTAAGAGCTTTATTCTCGAGGAAGCGATCTTGGCGGCTTTAAAAAAAGATAATACTTTTATTTAATTCTTAATAAAAAAGCTTTAAGAAATATACCGTCTATCCGACTCGAGCTTTAAGCTATCGATAATACGAGATTATAACAAATTCTTATAAGCAGCTAAACAAAAAAGCGTCTTTTTAACGGTATAGATCAAAGAACATCGAGCTATTTATAAATTAGCGAAGATAAACAACTTTTACGAAACGACGAGTATACTCGCGATAAAAGCATTCTTAAAAGCTATTAGCGAAAAATGATCATTAACTTAAGCGTCGCTAAAGCTCGCAAAGATCATTCGAAACGACGAGCTATCATTGCCTTAAAAGCGCACCTTTTACGACTACTTTAATTAGTACGAAAGCTAAGTCGAAAAAAAGACGAGCAATCCGAACTTTAACTTTTTTAACGTATTCGCTACTTTCGAAGATCAAACTATTCGCAGCATTTCCGGAAGTGATAAAGCTAACGACACTGCTTTTAAGCAGTCCGGTAAACGCTCCGATAGCTTTAAAAGACTTATTAAAAGTTTTAAATGCTCGTGCTTTAAAAAGAGAAACTACTATTAAAACGCAATCAAATATAAGATCTTTCGTTATTGCTTTAACGGTTTTAACGAAAGTGGATTCGCAAAGCCGAATCGAAATGATATCGTCGCTATAAAAAAAAGGCTTTAAAAGCTTAAGTTTAAAGCGCTTTAAAAAGAAATCACGAAAGAAAGGTAAGCACAAATTTAAGTCGATAAAATCGTTTTAAAAGGCAAAAAGAAGCAATCGAACGATAGCGATAAGTTAAAATACTTTAAAAAAGTATTAATAATTATTATCGATCTTAAGCTCTTTAGCACGCTCGATAATCTTGTCTTTAACGGTCTTTATAATACGGCTAACAATAAGCATTAGCTATCTAATAGCACTCTTCTCGATAATTACGGCGCTACTCACTTTATTAACGATAAAAATCTTTTAATGCTAAAATCAATTTAGCGCTTTCGCTTAACCGACTTTATCGAAGCTAAAACGAATAGTCTTTTAGTCGTCGGGCGAAAGACTAAAGTCTTTAAAAAAGCTTTAAACGGACTAAATAAAGCTAAGATAAAGAATTTGAAGTTAAAGAACGTCGCTATCGTTAAAAGGTTTAATATTAATATTATCTCGAAAGCTTTTTTAAGCAAAGCTAGCGTATAGTACTCGAGATATAACGCAATTCTCCGCTATAAGAAAGTCAAGGAAAGCGTCGTATTAAGAAAGTTAAAAAGGAAGTTTAACTTTACGTTTTTTAAATACAAGCTATTCAATTATTCTTTGCTTTAATTGATTCGTAGCTCTTTTTGTTTAATAATATTCTTTACAACTTAAAAGCGTTTGTAAACACGTTATAAATTCTAAAAGAGCAGTGTCTTCCGAGCTTTAAAAAAAGATTTATCGATACTTTAGCATTTACGAACAAGTTATTTAAGCAAAAAAGCTTTCGAAGCGCTAGCTTATAACGCTAAAAAGGTAAGACTTAAAAGAATCATTAAAGTTAAATGTAAAGCATGTGCTATTACGCACGCTTAATAAGTTATATCTCGTCGCACGTTAAATAATAAAGCAACTAAGCTATTTTATAAGATCGCTTAAAATTTATTCGACTTTTTTAACGGTTTTAACGAAAGCAAATAATTGTTAATAATTAAGAATGAATATAATAAAAAGCTATTCGGCTTTATATTAAAAGACAAGTTACAATTAACGGTTATAAAAGTGTTAAAGGAATTTAAAGCATAAACGAGACGCAAATACGGTCTTTTAATAGCTATTATACGTTATAATAACGATTTTTCGGTAATCGTAATCAACGTTATCAATTCTATCGAATATCAAAAATAAGCGAAAAAAGTTAAGATCGAGTTAAAGCTTTTATTATCTTTTAATTACGAACTTAATAAAAGAGCCGAAAAGGCTAAAAGAAAAGTAATAAAACGGTCTATCAAAATGAGAGTAAGAGCAAGGCTCTTAAAGAAGCTTTAGCTTAAAACTATACTAACCGTTATCTACTTTTATAATATAACACCGAAAGCGAAAAGCTTTATAAAAAGTCCGAATGAAGTGCTATAGCTTTAGTTCAAATAATATTTTAAGTAATACGATCTAGCGATCTTTATACGGATCGATATCGATTTAAGACTAGATTATAGCGGTTTAGTTGCGTATAGCGCTCGTGCGTACTTAATAATCAAAGACCGAAAAGCTCTTCGCAATAAAAGAGCTTTTAAAATTAAACCGAAAAGACATATAAGCTACTTGATTAGATATATAGCTTTTAATATATATAAAGTCTATGTTCTTATGCTTTATAAAGTGATTATTATACGCAACGTAACGTTCGATAAGACTTAATTCTATCTTAAAAACGAAGAAAAATCGGTCGGCCAACTGATTAACGAGATCAAAAGCATTGTTATTAAATTAAAAGATATTAAAGACTTTAATCAAATAAAAGACGCTTTGTTTAATATAAAAAACGTTATAGATAATCGCTTAAAAAAAACGAATGCAGCTGATATAAAGAGTGATTAGCCGTCAGACCTTATAAAGGTTAATTTAAAAAGATCTAGTTAAAGCTTAAAGAATGCGACCTTATTTAATCCGAGCGATAAACAAACGTTAAGAGCTTTAACTCTAATTAAAAACCTTATAAATACGTTTATATTAAAAGCAATTGTTTTACGAAACGATCTAATAAACTTTAACGATTCGAACTATACCGCTAACCGTTTCGCTAGCTCTTTAGCTAAAAGCAAAAGCGAAGGTGTCCCAAGACTGCTAGAAGCAAAGAAGAGCACCGTAAACGAGCAAAAACTTAGCTTTAATAAAAGAGCGCGCAAATCATACTTTTAAGTTGTTATTTAAAGCTAAAGCTCGGAAGGCCAAGCTATAAGCCGACTAACGAAAGCTTTTACGTCAACAATCGGCGGAGATTTAAACCGAATAATTAAAGAAGAGCTTTTAAACCTTTTTAAAGCGAGCATTAATAATAAGAAATTAGATTATAAACATTTTAAATAAAATTCCGACTCTAATAAAGAGCATTCACTTATTAATAGCTGTATTAAAAAACGCGCAAAGATATACGCAAGTGTTAATAAGCTTTTTTTAAATAATTCTTTCGCTGATTCGAATCGCTATTCGCGCGTCTTAAATTTTATATCGACGTTTTAAGTTAATAGCGATTTCGTGCGCAAAGATAATAAAGATTACGAAACATTATACGCTATTATAATAGCTGCTACCTCGTTTAAACTGTCATTAGAACAACTTAACTCGTAAGAACGAAAACATCTAAAACCTTTTACTTATTAGAAAGAGCTATAACGATACTTATATAATAAAGAATTTAAGGACGGAGCTCTTATAAAGCTGAATAATCTAAAGAAAAAGAATTGCTAGAAAATGATTCTCGAGAGCGAAGCTAAATTAAAACTTATATCTCTTAAGTAAGTGTTTATATACAAGACTAGCTCGTCTAAAGAGATCGTAAGGTTTAAATCGAAAATTATTATTAAAAGTGACTTTTAAGACGAATCTATTATCTATTCAACTTACGCGGCTACGCTAGCAGCTAGATCTTTTAAGATTATAATAATTATAACAATCGAATTTAACTTAAAAGTAAAACAATTCGATATCGTTAACGCTTTTATCAACGTTATAAGATATACGGATAGCGTCTTAATTACGTGTTATCTTTTTGACGGTTTTAAGCAAAAAAGTATACTCGTAAAAGTCGATAAAGCTTTATATAAACTTAGAAACTCGCTAGCTTTATAGTATTTCGACTTTATAAGCATATTCGACAAATTAAAGCTTATATTATTTAATAAAGAACCGTGTATTTTTACGAATTTAAACAAAACGATCTTCATAGCGTTTTACGTAAACGATATTTAAATTATATATTATCACTTTAATCTTTTTAAAGCGCAAAAGATCATTAACGGTTTTAATAAAACGTACGAGATCGAAGCGATAAAAGATATTAAATAGTTTCTTAATATAAGAGTCGCTCGAAACCGTTAGCGAAGAACGCTAACGCTTATGCACGACGCTTATATTAAAAAAATAACTAAGAAATTCGAACTTACGGACGGACGCTGCTTAGCAACTTTATTACCGTTTTATAACTTAATTAAAAATAAAAAGATAACTTCGCGGAAGCAAATGAAAAAGTATTAAAAAAAGGTTAGATCCGTGCTATATATAGCGATTATACTACGCTTAAATATAGCTTTTACAGCTTTTTAACTCTTTTACTTTAGCACTAATCTAAGCGCGGAGCACTTTCGAGCTATAAACTAGTGTTTACGATATTTATTTAGCTCGCGCTTTAAAAGTATTCAATACAACCAGTTTAGTAAATCAAAGCTAGTAATAGCTTTTGACGCTTTTTACGCCGATAACGAAAAGATAAAGCGATCTTTTTAAAAGTACATTATGTTTTTATTCGAAGGTGCGATCCTTTAAAAAGCTTTAAAGTAAGATACAATTATTATATTATCTATTAAAGCGGAGCTTCTTAGCATAGCCTTTATAGTGAAAGAGACTATAGCGCTTTAACGTTTTTTTAAAGAGCTGCACCTTCGTTTTGCGGCGCTTTAAGTAATCTATTATAATAATTAATAAATAATAAAGCTTATAGCTAATAAGAAGGAGCGTATCTTTACTAAGCTTCGCTACGTCGATATTCACAATATATAGCTGCGCTAAGAGCATTTTAAAAAGAGCTTTCAAGTTTAATATTTCTTTATTAAAAAGATGTACGCTAACGGTCTTATAAAGAACTTGACTCGACAGAAGTTTAAGAGCTTTATTAAGCTCTTAAATTTATAAAACGCTCGCGCGTTAATCGAAAAGCTTTAATAGCACGCATATGCTATTTATTTATTACATTTTATTTTTTTTTCATTTGTACGTGATTTAAAAGAAAACATTTATTTAATAATCTTAACCGTTATTTTATCTTATCTTATACGCTTTTACTTTTCGCTTCTTATAATAAAAGATCGACCAGAGCTCTTAGCAATCTTTTTACTTTAATTCGGCGCTTCGCAAGAGTCATAGCAACGGCGAGCGCCGCCGCGAGAGCGGTAAGCGCAACGATTAGCGTAAAAAAAGCGACGATAATAAGTGCGACGAAAGCGACGAAAGCTGCGAAGGCGACGAAAGCAGCGGAAGCGACGAGAGCAACAAGAGCGGCAAGCGCAAAAGCTATTATAATAGCAAATTAAAGCCTTTGCATAAAGTCCGAAAAGAAGTTTTAATTAAAAAAAGCTGCTTAGATTAGATTATTTCGGAAGTCAAAGAGCTTGACTTACGAAGGAGTGATATGCTCGAAGCGCTTCGAGTCACCGGATCACGGTTCGCTGCTATAAGACTATTCAATTTAATAAAGGCTATATTCAAATTAAAAGTCTTAAGAGCAAGAGCAAAACTTACAAAGCTATCGAAACTACTTTTAAAACCTTTACTTCTACTCGCTAGACCGCTCGGACTATTAATAGCACCTTTTAAAAGAGTAGCATTTAAAGCGAGCTATTATCGTATAGCATTTCGGAAACCTCGGCGAACTCTTTATATAACATTATTATCTTTAGCGCTTACGAAGTTATCGAAAGCGGTGTTAGCAATAGCAAAAGCAGCGGTGCAATTGCTATAGCTACCTTTAGTATACCGGAAATAACGAATAACGCTCGTATCGCAATTATAGCAGTTTCTATTAAACCTCGATGTGATCTTATTATTAATGCACTTAATGCACTTTAAAGCTTTAACGGTCGTTAATATAAATAAGCGCTTAATAGAAAGGTTTAAAAGAAAGGGCGAAGCTTCGAGAGTAAGAGTGCGTAGTATAGCCGCCGCAGCCGCCGCAGCTGTAGCAGCAGCAATAACTAAAGCAAAAAAAGGATTTTCTTAATAGTTAATATAAATATATTAATTTATTAAAAGCACTTACTTTTAAACGGCTTCAGCCGCGCTTAACGATTCTATTAAATTAAATTACTTGCTTAAAAAGCATTATATAAATAGATAAAGGTTAAGTGTTTGTTATAATAAAAAAGAACGCGCTCTTATTTATATAGCAACGCGATAAAAACGGCGCTAAAGACTTCCGCTACGTAATAAGACCGACTTAAAAAAGAATTGCATTCTTGACTAATACTTAATTAATAATAACAACCGCTATTTGTTTGTTTAAATTGCGATAACAATCTCTTTTGTTTATATCGAGTTTAAAAAGCTTAATTATTTATTTTTTTTTCTTTTTTATTTGCTTGCAATTCAGCAGCTACGCTGCTGATTTAAAAAGTGTGTTATGCGGAACAAGCATGGTTCTACTTAAGCTATATATGATATATCATATAACCTCGCTTAATAGCGCTTTTGGTACACTAAAGCTTTTAAGTACATATACATAGATCTTGACGAGCTTTTTAAATAAAATATACCAAGCTTCATTCAATTTACAGAATCTCTTCTTGATCTTAGTGCTGGTAAGCACTACAGTTCATAAACAACTTTACGTATTACTTACCTTCGAATACCGCGAACTTTAAAGACGAAAAGCAAATAAAAGTAAAAGCGGAAATGATAATATAAAGAGGAAAAGCTCCGACATATACCCAACGTCAAATCAAGAGATATATGTGAATATAGCTATAATAGAATCGTAAGTGAATAAAGAAGGAGAAGAAGGACGATCGAAAGACACTCGAATGTATGCTATAAATACGTATATTATATTATGTGATGATATAGTGCTGATTTAAAGAAGAACTAATTACTTATTTATATAAGAGCTTGCACGTGATCTAACTACGTACTTAATAAGGCTAAAGCATACAGCGCACCCACGTGATAAAAGTGCTTAGCATTAGTATTATATATATAAACAAAACAAATACAAAGCTTTAACTCTATTATATACGTCCTTTTTTCGAATCAAACTCGCTTTCGAGTCACTTTTTATTAAAGTGGTAAGGTTAAGTTTGCAAGACGAGCATATAGCCGAATTGCACGGTCGCAATATAATCTTAAAGTACTACTTAATGATGCATCGCCGGATCGGTGTTAATACGGAGCGTATATAATATAATAAAAAAGATAAGAATAACAACGAAAATGCAAAATAATCTTTCGAGTCCAATTTTTTTTTATATCTTTTATAGCTTACTTATTTAATTATAAAAACAATATCAATTCGAGCGTTAGTATTATCGTTAAAATAAGCGTGCGCCGGTTTAAGCGGTTAAGTGGTGACGCATTGCCGAATCGGTAGTAGCGCGAGGCTTAAAGCGGTAACGTAATAAAGAAAATAAAAGCGGCAATATATACTTAAAGTCTTGCTATAAATAATCAACCTTTTTTTTATATTAATCTTACACCTTTTTATCTTTCTTTTAGTATTACTACTTAACAACTTTATCTTTTACTATTATATTTTCGATCTGCTTTCGATGCGTAAGCTACGTAAGTAAAACTATTAATAATACCGCGAGTCGGTGCATCTTCTCTTTCGACAAATCTATAAAATGCGAGCGTTGCCGTGCTATTAAGTCAACTTGCATCTTCGTAAGTTATCTTACTTTCCGTCTTACACTCGTTTTGATTTCGATTTAATAGCTTTTCGCAAAAGTCGTTAATGCCGGTATAATCTTAATAAATGCGATAACGATTATAAATAATAAAATTAAGACGGCCGACGACGTTTTTCGTAAAAGCATAATTGCAAATAACCTTTTTATAAAGACTCGCCGTGCTCTTGCCTTTCGAATTAATAATACTTTTTCTTTTTTTCGAGCTCGTATCGCCGCTGCTTTCTTTGCCGCCGTTAATGCTAAAGGTCTTTTAGCTAGCTTAAGTCTTGTCTTAGCGTTACGCTTACTTGCCGCCGCCGCTACCGCCGATTCAGCTTCGCTAAACTTATTGCGTTAGATCTTAGCTGCAATAAATCGAAATAATACTTTATTAAGTAACTTCTTTAACCGCGTAAATATATATTGCGAATCTTTTATAATTCTTTTTCGATTTAACTACGATAGATTGCCGAAAAGTCCTCGTCTTTTTTATTTTCATTTTCGGAATCGCTAGCACCTTTTACTACGAAAAAGCTCCGCCGAAATGCCCGTTAAGCTTTTAATCGCGGCAATACCGGTAGTTCTTCGAAAGGTTCGAATCGTAGCAATATCGGTAAGACTTCGAAAAGTAAAAGCAATGCTTAAGGTATTACGGAAAGCTTTCGCATTATTCTATTTAGCTTTAAGTTATAAGGTCGGAAGAGTTTTTATCGCGTATTAATAGCTTGCTAAGTAGTTAATATAATAGATTTTTCGTATGCTTTTTTTAATCAGCTTTCGAATAAAGTCCGCTTTATATATATGATATGCTCGTATATAGTAAATCGAAAGCATATAAGTGTAATAACGTAAAGCTTTTTAATACAAAAAAAGAAATAAAAAGAGTATAAAAAAAAAGAAAATAAAAAAAATTAAACTTAAATAAAAAAAAAAAATCAAAAATCAAATCTAAACTCGTCTTTTCTATACGTATAATTATGCCTTTATAACTTAATCACTCTCTATTGCCTTTTTATCATTGCTTATAAAGACTCTTGCGTATTAGCTTCGTTGCTCTTTCGTAAAGCTAAGTAATCGAATAACAAATCCATTTAAGCGCTTGATCTAAAGGCCGGATTCGGCTATTTTATTTAATAAAAGCTGTTTTAAAGATCTCTTTATATAAAGCTTAAAGCGAAGTGGTAACGCTTCGAAAGTATATCGCACGTAAAACTTTTTTAATCGATTACTAGCAAATATTCTATTTAACAAGGCCTTGTCTTTTCTTAGCTCTTTCAACTTATAATATCCTTTTATATTTATCGACGAAATTTGATAAGGGCTAAGCCACCGAAAATCCAGCTTTTTAACGTTGGATATATCTACTTTACGTACCGAGTCGTGCTATCAAAGGCATCTTTTCCTTCTTGGCGGCAGCGGGTTTTCTTAAGTATAGCCTTCGTAGCATCTTCGTTTCGTATCCGGAACTAGCGTGCCCTTAACTCGATAAGCTTAGCACGGTTGATTACTAGCTCTTAAAATAACGTAGCTTAAGACTAGATTCGAGTCTTAATCGAAAGCATTGCTTTTTTGCCGTATATTATATAAAAAAAAGTGAATCCGATAAAAGTATACACCGAAGTGCGGTCGACGAATAAGACGGCTAGTAATTACGCAATTTAATCGGTGCTTTTAAGTTTATTTAATGCGTCTTTAATTAATCCGTGGCCGCGTTTTACTATTCTATTCGCTTAAAAGTAGTATGCTAAAACTACGATTCGATTGATTCTTTAATTGTTAAGTAAATCGATTACCTCTTTCTTAAACTCCGAACTTTCGTCGATTATTAATTAAAAGAAAATCTTATAGCGGCAGATAATATCTTCTTAAATAAACTTAATTATTAAAAGCGAATCTCGAGTCCGAATCGCTTTCGCTTCGACTTATCTACTTATATTATCTTTAATAATAATTAAATAGCTTTTGCTATTACGTATAAGTAAATAAGTAATATCGATAACCTAGCGTTTTATTAAGCTATTAGATCGGATAAGATGCAATAGCTCTTCGAGCTTATTAGCTGCTCGGTGCTAGTATTTTTTACAAATCTTAACGAATCGTTTAACGTTCGTATAATATCTATTTTAAAAATAGCGCTAAGAAACACAATAATAAGTTGATTTACGGCTTTTATAATTACTTTTATCGTAATAAGCCGTAATAATATCCGTCTTAATCGAAAGCTTATCGATTACTAATCGAAAAAGAAGACTTTTCGTCGAGAGTCTTTAAAGTTTCTTATCGTTCATCTCGTATTTAATAGCCTTTTTCTTAAACTTACGACATTCTACTTTATTTAAGTCTTTAAGTCTTCGCAAAGTCGTTAAGAAAATAGCTATTTAAATTAATTTCGAAAAATATTTAATTAAGTTTAAAAGACCTTCGTAATCGTAATCGTCGTTAAACTCGTTTAAGTTTGCATTTTCCGCTTCTTTCGAACGTTAGAATATATCTTTAAAAATAAATTAGCGAATATCTATTAAAAGGTCCGTCGAAAGTTCTTCGAAGTCGTTTCGAGCCTTAATAAATCTTAAGTCGGCTAGCAAGTTATTATCGAACTTATCTTTATCCTCTTCGCTTAAATCATTAGAGTGCTATAGCCGTTTTAATAATGCATTAGTAGCGGTATAATCTTTATCGAAAACATATTAAACTTTAAAATCGAAAAGATTAATCCAAGCTAATTAGCGTATAACTAAAGCCGAAAATATATCGATAGCTTTTCGTCGAAGCTAAGCAACGAGCACTTTAACGTTAATCTCGATTAAGTACTGTAGAAGCACTTAAAAAGATGTACTGTACAGAAGCCTAGCTCTGAAGCTAGACTTTATAATCTTACAAAAGAAGTGTCAAAAAAAGTAAGTAGAAAGCTCGTTGATTGTTTTAGCTAAAAGATATATGCCCTTTTATAAAAGATGAGTCCGTTTAGTATAACCTTAATAGCTATAACAGGTACCTTATCAAGCAAAGTGTTTATATCCGTCCTTTATAAAATAAATAAGCGCCTCCGCTTACTATCAAGCAAAGAAGAAAAAAAAAAAAAAAGTATAAAAGAAAGAAAAAATCTAATATACAAAAAGAAAAAAAAGTATCTTATCTTTAAACTCTAAACATTTAAACATTTAAACTACGCTTTAACAGCTTTCTTATAATCTTTTTCCGTATTTACGTCTTTAACTCTTTCGTTCTTTTTAAGCTAAAAAGGTCTTTTCTTTTTAGTAAAGCTAGTATTAAACGATAACGTGTTAACAATAGCATCTTTAAAAGTAAAAGAGCGCGTATCGTTCTTACGCTTGTTAATAGCATCGTTAATAAGTGTAAACTTAGCCGACGAAAAGTTAGCGAAGCTAAAATAAAGTCCGGAGCTATTAGTTAAGTCGTTTTCGTTTTCGAGCAAGTTATT